TGGCAGTGCTTCAAGTCCCTCGTAGGATCAGGGGCCTGCTTCAGTGTGGTGGTGGTGCACCGGAATGCCGCAGCATGGATGGCATCGGTATGGGCGGAAACTAGCAAGCTTCACAGCCACTTGGCTCGAGTCTTTCGTGTCCTTTTTTCCTATAACCCCTACAGATACATGGGTCTGCGGGGGTCTTGTTATGACTTTTCGTAACTTTTCTTCCCCTAACAGTTGGTTTTTGTCTTGATCCTCCTGCTTCTTGTTCTTGCTGCTCTTCCTCTTCTTCTGTTATGTCTTCTTCTTCTCCTGCATCTTCCTGTTTACATGGGAGCCATCGACGGCCGAGGTGCGCCGAAAAGCTTCGAGTCCTTTATGGCGCTCTTCGCCGGCCAGCGCGGGGCGGACGTGCGGGGAGATTCCGACCCGCAGCTGCAGATCCTCAACAAACTGAACGAGGAGTTCCCGGGAAGGGTGGATGCCGTGTCATACGATGCTTGGTCCGTCTGGGTCTCGTTTTTTTGATCGTTTTGGGCTTGAGCCTTTAGAGAGGTCCCCCAGGTAGTACTACGTTACAAGTTTTGAAAGTCTTGGTGCTAGTTATTAAGGCCCTTTTTTGTGACGTGGGAGCCAAGGACTATTTGGAGGAGGTGGGCAGTAGCCTTTCCGCCTTCTTCATCTGCAACGCCACTCTCCGGCTGACTGGCGAGCCATGGCGTCGGTGCACGGAATCTGTTCCGAGTCCGAAGACGGTCAACAAATCCCCACTTCATGCAGCCATCGATGTGGTGCGGCTGGCACGGACATACTACACAGCCAGGCTTGGGCATGAAATCATCAACACATTGCTTAGATTTCGCTTGTAGCGGAAGAAGTAGCAGCCCATTCCTCTCCCTTCTGAGGTGAGCACCGGACGAGACACTTGCGAAGCCTAAACCATCCTAAACCAAATTTACGGCTTCGGGTTTATCGTCCTCAGAGGAGCTCGCTTCAAGTTTGTTGCTTTTACGGCAGTGACAGACAATACTAAACCCCAAACCGCTATCGTGAACCACCGACATGGACCATAATTCACAAAGACCCCTTCAAGCAATTACAGAAGCCATCTCCAAGCTTCCTAAGCGGTTCAGAGTTCAGGGCTTAGGATTTTGGTGCAACCTTGAAACCCCTAAACCTAAAAAAACTCTCGTAGCCCGAGGCGCGCAGCCCTGAACGCAACGGCTCCCTGCCAGCCTTGGCCAGTGGTGGACCTGCGGAAACGCGGAGTTCAGTCGAACCCAGCAGGGGTGCCTCGGGTGCCTTTGGGGTCTGGGGGTTTAGCGAGGGTTCAGGCTTTTGGGTTTAGGAATTTAGGGGTTTTCGGTTTAAGTAGGGTTGAGGGTAAGGTTTTTGGGCTTGAGGCTTTCAGGTTCAAGGGTTCTCGGTTTTTTGTGGGGTTTGGGGGTTTTTGGGGTCTGGGGCAAAGGCATTGCAAGTCTGAGGTTGAGTTCTGGTGCAGGTTCACGGGCAGTAAGAGTTGCAAGCGTTAAGTGTTTTAGGGTTAGTGATAGACATCACTCCTACTCCTTGGGTTTTGGTGCTTGGGTACGTTGCTACGTTGCTTATTTAGGCTGCGTCTGGGGCGTTTAGAAATTATGACCAGGGCTCCAGAGTCCTTTGCCCTTGCAGCGTTTAGGGTTTTTTGGGGCTTGGGGTTTAGGGTCTCCTGCTCCCTGCTCCCCTACAACCCAAAACCCCGAAATCCGTACCCTCGCCGGACCACCAGACCGTAAACGCAAGGTCCGGATCGCCTCGGAGCTGAAACGAGCCAAAACCTGTCGGGTCTTGGCTCGTTCCAGCTCTGAGGCGATCCTTTGCATAAAAGGATCTATAAGGGTATCTTAGCGTTCCTTGCTTGAAAAGACCTATTAGAGCTACTATTATCTGAGGGTTCCTGGCTGAAGGGGATCAAAAGGGTTACTAGTGTGGTTACTAGTATCGTAAGGCTTCATGCTTAAAAGGACCTATGAGGGCTACTTTGTTCTCTAGTATCTTATGCCTCCTTGCTTAAACGGATCACAAGGGTTTGTTTCATCTTAGGGCTCCTGGTTAGGATCTACACAGCAAGGCAGCAACAACAACCTCCTCGCCATAGAGTCTGGTAGAGGAGGCTGCGGGTTTGCATGGGTATGAGAACGCAGAGGAAATCTTTACCCATCCCTGATACAACAGCCTTTTGAAACCAACACAAAACTCATCGGATCCATGGGAACATCCTTATGAAACCGTTGTCAAGCCCATTGAAACCTGCCATGTGTCCCCTTGAAAAACTGCAGAGCACCAGGTCTTGATTGCTTACAACAATCCAGCGGTGGCCGAACTTGCAGCTGGACACTGTCTTTAAGGTTTTCGTTATGGGGTCTAAGGGTTGCAGGGTTGAGGTAAGTGTTTGGAGACACAGGTCTACGGGCTTTCGGGTTTGAAATTTGTGGTTTATAGCATCGGAATACTTCCGGCAACCTTCAACCGCTCAACTAACTAGAACCCAGATTCCTAACTCACCGTCTGGGAAAGCTTTTAAGTATTTGAATTTATGTATGTTGTGTGAAAGTCACCCCAGGCAAAGCAGCTCCCCCAAAAGTGCGAAATTCTGGATGGTCTGTTTGAGAGCGAGACGCAGACATGGTTTGCTCGAACAGGAGACGGAGATTTCGTGATCCTGGGCGTCATGCAAAAGCTCACTCAGGGCTCAGCTAATCCAACCCTAGCACCTATTTGGGGGATCTGTAGGGTTCCTCTTAAGAGTTCTATAAGATACCCTTAACGGGTTTAGGGCGTAGGGTTGAGGGTCTCAGACTTTGCAGGAGCAGAAAGGCCGCGATCTGGTTCCAAGCCTATTTGCACTGTAGACGTCACTGCGATGACGCCGGAGCACTGGCAACTGCTGGGCGGATTGGTGCCAAAGTGCTACCAGTAGTGCCTGAAGCGAAAAAGCCTACAGTTCCTGGGTTTCAGTTTATGGCACCATTCCCCAAATTTCCGAAACCGTTGAAACACGAAGTTCTACAAATCGTAAGCCCCTAAGGCCTTAACCGTCATTACCCAAAGCCCCAACGTCGAAAATCTTTGGCTCGATGGCATACCGGAGTAAGCCTATACTGTTTGGGGGTTCCTTCTTCTAATTATAGTATAATGGCCCCTAAAATCCTATTCTAAGTATCAAGGCCCCTACATCACACTCTTCGCCCGCTCCAAACCCTGCACCCTCAGCCCGAGAGTCGAAAGCATCCACCTCATCGCCTTGACACCCCGGGATCCAATGAGCCACCCGAAACCCCAAACCGTGACTCTAAACCGTCTAAGGCGCCTTATTACCGACGCTATTTAGGGGGGTTCCGTATTGTAATTATGGGTATGATGGGCCCCAACAAGCTTAGACTCTAAACCGTCCATCCCCTAAGCCGTAACGCGCAAAAGCCCCGAGCTCCCAATCTCGGCCCTGAACCCCAGGGACCCAACACTAAGGGACCCAAAAAGGACATAAGCGCAAGCATTTTATAGGGATATCCCTACCTTATTGGTCTTCACTATAAGGGGGTTTATATGGGATATCCTATCCTTATCTTTGCTTATGTGCTTTTTGGGGGGCCTAAACACAGCGGGCGCTACACCTCACAAATCTTCCAACACCATGCCGAAGAATAGGGTGCTTTAAAGGGTATTGAAAGAGTTCCTTTAAGGGTCGATAACGGCTCTATAGACGGGCCTTCATAATCAGAACAGGGTGCTGGGGTTATACTAAAACTAGAAGACGGGTGCTAAATCCTAAGGCCTACACTCCTCGACTCTCCACCCAAACATTGAAGCCCCTTGAGGTTTTTGAAAGGATCCTCCGGTGTTATTCGTTTTTTTACGAGGGACTCTAGGGTTGTATAGATTAGAAGGGGCCACCACCCTGTAATAGTGGTATAACAGGAATATAATAGGGGCCCCAATATAATCCTTATACTGGTAGCCACTATTACAGGGTGGGGGCAGCTTCTAATATATGGTTGCGCCCCGGCGGGCCCCCCCCTCACACCCCACCCCCTCCACCCCCCCCTCCCCCCCCTACGGTATCCTGTTATAGGTACTCTGATATATTTTCATAAGTAATCGACGTGTATTCTCCCCGCCCCCCCCCTGTGGAACGGCATGGTTTGCCTTGTCTATCCCCCCCCCCTGTGGAACAGGATGGTTTGCCCTATTTTCCAAGCCCCCCCCCCTTTGGAACAGGATAGTTTTCCCTTTTGCTCTGAGACACACACACACACACACACACACACGCACCATGTCTTTCTGAATGTATGGCCATTCTATCTCCCCCCCTCCTGTGGAACAGGATGGTTTTCCCTTTTTGCTCTGAGACACATACACACACACACACACACACACACACCGCGTGTCTATGTATGTATATGGCATTCTCCGCACATGCTCTCCTGTAATGTTACGAAGTATTGCCTGGAACCCTTTTCTAAGGAATTTTACATAGCCTTGCTTGGAAATTTTGGCACACGAGTAATCTTGCTGAGTGCTGCCTAGAACATGTTGCTTACTGCTCGAAGGAAGCCCTGCCTGGAGGCCTTCGGAGTAGGAATAATGTTACTCTGTTTTGCCTCCAAACCCTATCCTTACTGTGGAAATTACGCGGGTGCGTCGCGGGCGGGCCAAGCGGTGTACAATACGCTGTACGGCGCGCCTGTAGCGGGAGTCCTCCAAGTTTTCAGGGTTCAGGCTCCTGTGTTTGGGGGGGGGGATACCATTGGGGGGGTGATGTTTTGAACACAACTGATGTTACACATCCAGGTGCCTGTCTGTTTCACGTATCACCTGCATGTATCCATGCCTGTTGCTCAAGGTTCTAGTGCAGTGGACTACAGCTGTGCGCCTGTAGCAAAAGAGACACCTGAGTGCCTGTGTTCCTGTACGCCTAGCGAGGGGATACACGTCCAGGTTACATCTCAACGTGGTAGCGGAGCTCCGGGAAACGGGAAGCTTCACACTTGTGGAGGTACCCGTTCGGTACTCTCTACACAGGTGGAGGCAACCGGAATACCCGGTGTGCTTCACTCAGGTGAAGGTGACCGGAGTCTCTCCGGCACACTTCACTCAGGTGAAGATAACCGGAAGAGGTTTCTCCCGGGGCTCGATCCAAGAACAGCGCAATGGCTAGCCACTCTGCGACTATCTTTGAGCATGAAGGAGGAGACGATGACTACCTCCTCCACGGAAATGAATCTTTCGCGACTAATCATCGTCATCTCAATGAATTACACCGTCTTTCAGCTTTCCAGCAGGTGACCACAAAAGTACCTCCATCTTATGATGGTAGAAGCAGTTGGTTTGCCTATGAAGATGCGATCGATGACTGGTGTGACATTACTGAGCTAGACAATGATAAGCGTGGACAAGCTTTGAGAAATCGGCTAGAAGGTGAAGCAGCAATCCACAAGAGACTTCTCGACAGAGATCGCCTGAAGGACCCGAACAACGGAGTGAAGTACTTCAAGAGTTTCCTGCGGCCGCTTTTCGTGAAGGGAGCAGAGAATGTTTTTCTCTATCGCTTCCAGCAGTTCATGAACATGCACCGTGGGAACGGAGACATGCTTCGTTGGATTACCAGGTTTCAACTCTCTGTTCAGAGAATGCAAGAAGCGTGGAACGATACCTATCTGACGATCGAGGACCCGAACAATGCAGAGGTCAGAGCCTTCATAGTAGGACTTCCTCCAGAAGAAAAAGAAAACCTTACGCCAGCTCAGGCAATGGAGAGAGCCAACGAACGGCTTAGAGAGCAGCATGCTCGGACCATTCCGATCACGCCCAACCTGGTCGCTTTGATCTTTGTGTCTCTGTCTGATCTGACACAGGATCAGCGTCAGGTGTTGACATCACTGATGGCGCATCGGAACCGAGGCCTGGCTGACTACAACACGGCCGAGCTTCGCGAAGTCTACCTGGAGATCTTCTGTACGACCAAGACTACCGTCGACAATCCACTCCTCGCTCCTTCCGGCCACGGTGGCCGCAAGACCTTCCTTGTGATCGATGAAGGATATTTGAACGATCATGAAGGCTACCGGGTCGAGGACGAGGAAGATGGCACCGAAGGTTTCCTCGAAGCGGATGAGGACGCCTTCTGGGTCTACGACGACGAGAACTATTCATGGTTCCAGCGGCGCTTCCAAGGCCGCAAGATGAGGCGCGGATTCAAGGGCCACCGTAAAGGCGGGCCACCGTAAAGGCAAAGGAAAAGGTGGCAAAGGATCCAAAGGAAGGCGCTTCTTCAAAAGGAAGAAAGGCAGGTCACATCTTGCCGAAGAATCAGAAGCATGGCAAGCAGAAGGACAATGGCAAGATTACCAGTGGAGCGATCAGTCCTGGGATGACTGGTCCTGGTATGAGTCTGAGGAATCCTATGCAGCAAAAGGAAAAGGAAAGAAAGGAAAGAAGGGCAAAGGAAAGAGCAAGTTTGGCAAGGATGGAAAAGATGGAAAGTCCGGAAAAGACGGACAGAGCCAGCTTGCTGATGCTGCCCCGAGCGGCATCACAGCCGCCACAACCTTCTTCGTTGAACATCTCAACACTCCGAACTTTTCTTTCATGGCCACCGAAGAGAAGATCAATGAGAGCGAGGAAGCCTTCATCTCTCAGCCCTTGACGCCGACCGCGATGGTGTTGGACTTGGGATGCACGAGAGCAATGGCTTCGAGAGTGGCCGCACAGGACCTCATGGAGTTCTGTGACAAGAACCAGAACTGTGGCATATGGTACACCATTGCTGAGACCACTTCTCAGTTCACCTTTGCCAATTCCGAGTCTACCAAATGCAACCAGAAGTTGGTCATTTGCATGTACGACCTGGACTTTGCAGTTCAATCCACAGAGTTCGACATTGTGGAACAAGGGCATGTTCCCATTCTCATGTCCTTACCTCAGATGCGCAATCTTCGTTTCCAGTTCGAGCTCCATCCGGACAAGGCCTTGCTCAGCAGCCCTGTGCTGGGAATCAAGGATGTGAGGCTGAAGGTTGCACCCAGCTCACACTTGGTACTTGATCTTCTTGAACTCAGTCAGCTGATGTGGAATGTGCGTTTCAGCAAGCATACGAAGTCGAGCTTCCTCACCTACTTCTCCCACTACGAGTACGGCTTCCATCAGAAGACCGAGGGATGCTGTTCTCCTGAACAGGTACCTGACAATCTCGTGTTGGCGACTGATGATGAATGGGTGATCAACGAAGCCGACATGGAAATGATTCGCATCCACAAGAAGATGAGAAGAGTCAAGTACGAACCCAAGGCGGGTTATGTGCCAATTCCGTTGGAGCATCTGGACACCAAGCGCAAGACGATCATGGAGTTCTCCAAGGGAAAGAGCGTTACTCAAGAAGATGACTGGCGGTCTTCTGAGCTTTCTTCAACAAGAACTACTGACTCTTGGAAAGGCAAGACCATTTTCAAGATTCTGCCTGGTGGCATCGAGAGTAGAACCTCGGTGCCAGCCAAGTCCAAGGATCCAACCCGTGGAAAGGTAGGATCTCCAGAGGACATGGTTAGCGCAGGTAAGCCTGAAGACAGCTCGAAGAACACCGGAGCATCCGGAAGCTTTCCTCAGGGAAAGGCACCGGCAAAGAGAAGGATTCGAGCCAAGGGAAGCTTTCCACAGGGAAAGGCACCCGAGGAACCGGCTCCTCCTCCTCTTGCTCCTGAGGATGATCCGGATCTTCAAGAGTACGAACCTTCCGAACCGGGGGATGCAGATTTGCTTCCTCCGAGTCCTCCGAAGGCCCCAGCGCCACAGTCGCTAGAACCTAGGAGGATCGCGCTTCCGTTGCCAGGCCACGAGGTCTCAAGGGCTTCTCCGCAGTATCAGCGCATGTTGGAAAAGTTGAACAATGATGTTGAGCTTTACAAGTTGCATGTGAAGCATTAC